ATAGGACGTATTCCGTGGTGTCACCATGTGAGTAATGCAGAAGTTAGGTGTAGAGTTTTGGGGAGAAGAGGTAAGTCAGTCGACGAGGTTGTGAACCTTCATCGACTGAGATGGTTGGGACACGTACTACGTATGTCTAGTCACCGATTGCCTCGTCACACAATGTTGGTTGAGGTGGGTCCAGGCTGGAAAAAGGCCCAAGGTGGCCAGACTAAAACATGGCACCAATGTATGAAGTCTCTGACTGTTGGTTTAAGCCATGTAGGACGATGCAGACTAGGTGGTTGGGGCCCACGGGACAAGAGGAACCAGTGGTTGGAGACCCTAGGTGATATGGCTCAGAACCGAAGTCAGTGGCGCAGATGTATACACACATTATCCTCATCCTAACAACGCTATACCGAATCTCACCATTTTGTCACTCCTCTTTCCTTTCTTCTCGTACTTTGTATTTCTTTTGACTGCATTCACTTATCTTCATCTTTCGCCTCACTACCTTTTTACTTGATGTGCTGATATGTGTGGCAACTCGGACCGTTACGCAGTGATGCCTGGTCCTATGTTGATAATGATGATGATGATGAGCGATAGATAGATGATATATTCGTTATTTACGACTCAACTATCCATCTGGATGACATCCTTCGCGAGTTTAACAATTGTCACTCAGCGTTGGGATTCACTGTTGAGGAATTGAAATCAGTTATTCCTTTCCTTGACGTGCTGATTACGAGACGTAGCAATTAGACGCTACGTGGAATGGACAGCTTACTAATTTCTATAGCTGGGTATCGATCATGAGGAAGAGGAACCTTATTCACTCACTTTGCTATAGCACTCACTGTGTCTAAGTTGAACTTGACTTTCTAAGAGGGACGCTCGAGGAAAACGGCTATCCTAGCCGATTTATGGATAAGAATATGCGCAACTAGTCATCAGCTCAGTTTCTAAAAAGACTTTGTTCATGAATCTGAAATTTAAAGGTGATGCAACACCAGATATCCTAAAAAATCGTCTTTCCAGATGAATTAGTAAGACTTTTTCCCCAGCCAAACTTCACTTAATCTTTACCAGTCGTAAAGTGTTCTCCGTTTGTACGAAAGACAATATCCCTCAACAAGCCAATTCATCTGCTCTTGTAGAGCAAGGTACATCGGTCGTAGTTAGAGATTGCTGTCAACACGTATACGAGAACATATTCCTGCCTGGTTTTACAAGGGCGAAAAGAAGTGCATCTAAAGTTCTATCTTTAAACACTTAGTCGATTCCAACCATTCAACCGACCCAAACAATGATTTTAAAGTCGTTTATCGAGTCCGCTCAAACATCTCATGTTTCCTCCGTGTTCAGCTTCTAAAAACAGCATAGACCTTGGCTATCCATGAACTGAAGCCTAACCTTTGTGTGCAAAAGAAGTATCTACAGTCGTCTTTGTCTCTACCTTGGCCTTAATTTATTTTGGTCTTAGTGTGCTTCGTTCCTTTTTTGTTTTTGTTTTTCAACATCCCCTCCCCTTTTTGTCAGATTCATCTTTGTAATCTTATATCGTCATTAACATTTTATTTTTATATGAAATTGTTTCCGGTGTTATTTCATTTGATTTTCGAATTTGAGAAGTGGATTAAAATCAAACCAATTAAAATTGGGCAGTAATATTTTAGCAACAAAAAAATATTATGATGTCGTCGTATTTTAAGTTCAAAGTAAAGAAAGTAGTTTCACGAAACGTTTTTGAACTCAAAGTTTCGGTTGTTGTTCATGTATAGTTAATGCTTCAGCTATGCATAAGTGATGGAAACATAGACCCTTGGATTAGTTCAAATTAACTTTGTAAATTACCATAAAGGATGAAACTCGAGGAGCTGAATGACTCAACTCCAGTAGATGCTCACATATGGATGAAGTTGTCTTTGGGTATACCAAACTGGGTAATGTTGAGCTAGACGTTTTCAAATGGCCAGCTTACAACGTCCAATATAGTCAGTTTTGCAAGTGTGTGAATTTGTAGATACACATATATGTAGACATAAATGATAGCCTATCCTTCACGCGTTGTCGAACTGTAATAGAGTGAGGGGTAATTTGTTTCTTTAAGTTTTTTCTCACTAAGTCTTCTAGGGTATTCATTATCCTCTATTATTCTTCTAAGTTTCAATTTCAACATCCACCATATCTTCTGAACAGATTTTATGCATTCTAAAATACAGGGAGTGATTATGATTTCTTTTACATCTAAAAGGTACTCAACTATTAATTCTTTGTTTAGGTCCTTTTACTGACTAGTCAGTTTTCTAGCTCCATCATTTAGACATTTGACTAAACCTGCCTTAACTGACTGACATTGGATCAGATGATTCAAAGTCTAGATACCTGTTGGAATGTGTCGGTTTTCTGTGGATAGTAGCATCCAAACCACCGTCAGTCTTTCGTTTCATCCTGCAATCCAACATCGGCAATTCTCCTTGTTCATTTTCTACCTCGTAATTGAATTAGATTGCACCTACTGTTGAGCTTATATGTGTGGGGAAATCATCGATATGTTCCAATTTCAACACAGTAAATGTGTCATCCACATATCACCACCATATTTTTGATGCAGGACTAAACTTTTATAAAGCCATGTTTTCTCGACTTTCAACAAATATATCTGCTACGATCGGGGATATTGGCGATCCCATTGCTACTCCTTCTGTTTGTCTGTATATTTTGTCCTTGAACTTGAATACTGTGGAGGTCAGGCACAACTGTATGCCTAACATAATCTCATCAATCGATATCTTAGTTCTGTGAGTAAGTTCTGAGTCAGTATTTAGTTGACTACTGACTGCCTCCAATTCCATATTTGATATTTTAGTATATAGACTAGTTACATCGAAGCTAACCATTTTTTCATCCTCTTCTTTGTGTAGGTCATTAAACCTAAGTCTTAACTCGTAAGAGTTCACTTGTCTGGAATTTGAACGGTTCCTAACAGAACATAACACCGAAGCAAAGTACTTTGTGAGTTCATATGTTGGGGTATTTCTGAAGTCAGCTGTGGGTCTAATGGACTAACCTAGTTTATGAACCTTAATAGTGCCACAAATTCTGCCAGGATTATTAGTTTTAGGCATCAAATTAAACCATTTAGACTCACCTAGAGATGGCTTTAGTCAGCGTATCAGATCGGGTGTAGGTTTCTTAATTTTATTCATGACTGCGTCTAAAGGCTTCTTGATTTCTTCATATGGTCCTGTTTGGATATGTTCGTCAATTTTGTTGAATTAATCCAATCTATCCATAACTACTTCTGAATCGCTCTTATCAGACTTAACAATTACTATGTTATTGTCATTCCGTAGATTATTCAGAAATGAATTTTCAAGTTTTGTTAAGTTTCTCTGTCTCTTCTTTTGTCTTTTCAGTGTTAACGCACACTGTGCTCTGACCACTTCAGATGTTGTTGCATCCACTGAGCTTAACGCTACTTCTATGCTAGGTATGACATCTGGTTTTGAATGACCTATTGTCACGTTGAAGTTTAGTCCTTTTTTGAGTACTTTCTTCTCAGCTGAGCTTAAGGTTCTCGAGGAGAGATTGATTACCCAATTTATAGTAATATTCAGAAGTGGGAGTACATTCTACTAAATTCCGAGAACTTCATCTTTCTTCTCAAAGACAACTATCTGTTAAGCAACCAGAAGTTTCCTCACAGTTTTAGTATTAGATATAGGTGTTTTGCCGCTGACATTCTAAATCTAAGAAATAAGTCATATTGTCGGCCGTGACATAAATCATAGATTGCTTGTATACAAGCAACAATATTAAAATTATACCCGTCGCAAAAGAACTGGCTGTCGTGATTCGGTGGTCTAGTGGATAACGCTCTGGCCTTTGAAGCAATCGGTCCCCAGTTAGAGTCCCAGTGGGAAGAACACCCCTAAATGGGAGACAGACATATCCAGCTGACGAGTCCCAAACAGGACGAAACTTATGTCTTGGATTCCACTGCTGGTCACTACTCATCATTAATAATTACTATATTAGGTCAAAATGGATGTTCACTTAACAAATTCCCCGCAATATTAAAACATTTTAACAACATGCACCCCCTAACGTGATAGCTGGGGCTTCGTAGATCAGACTACCCGTCCGAAAACCCGGTGGTTGCTGGTTCGAATCCCACCGTAGTGTAAATTTTCATCTCACCTTCAATCACCACCCACTAACAAACTTAATAGTAAAAGCTTAAATTAGTTGGTTAATGAGGGACTTTGGAACACCCGTCGTCATTTATCGATTGGACGTGAAGTACCTTGAAATCATGCTCCTTTTTTATAAAGTGTTTCATCTACAAGGAACTTTTTTTTACTTTTTAGAACTTAGTTTCTAGGCTGAATTCGTCAAGGAAGGCATTTTTGACAGTTGTTTTACTGACTTTCATTAGTGTAAGCGTCGAATTTGTACACTACAGTAGAATATAATCCCATATTATAGTTTAGTTCCATGATATACCATATAATGAAGCATTGTTTCTTGCTTCGGTAATCGTTCGTAAATAATTTTTTTGCTATTAGCGTGTGTGTGCTTAGCAAGTACTCCAGAAAATCGTTCTACATCGTCGTGTGCCACTTTCGTGCACAAAAAAGCATAGTCCCATCGCCACTAGATTGTATCGTGTAATTTTTATCCACTTGGAAGAATTGGTGGTTGCTGTCGCCTAGTTGGGAGACGGTACTTACTTGTTATGATTACTGTTAATCACTCAAGCATATTGTCACTGAGTACGATTGGATCGATACCTATCTTCAGCAGTCATAGAATATTCTGATTCGAATCTAGGATGCTGAAATTTTTCATCAGTCATATTAACTAAATCCCAGTGGTTGACACCTTAAACCTAAACACAAGTTTTTTTTAAGCTATTATTTGCCAACTAATACTGCTATTATTTCTGGGAATAATGGTAATAATAATAATGAAGTAATTAAGATGTCCACCTACTCTCTACACTGATCTAGGTTTATTCTGGATTCCTTCTTGGTGCTCGTGATCTTGTCCGTGAAGAAGGTATTATAGGTTTATGGAGAGGTATTGGACCATGTTTAGTATCAGTCGTCCCACAGACCACAATTTATTTTGCAACGTATGAACAATTGAAACGTTCGTATATTTTGCGGAATTCAACGAAAAATATTTCTCTAATGCATAGTTTAGGTGCTACAAATACTGGTAATGACGAAAAGAGTAATGATGGTAAGTTATGAATATTTTTCGTTATTACTGAAATTATCGATTGATTAGAGACGAAGTTAATTATCGAGCATTAGGCAATGTAAGTAGGTTTATGAACTAAGCTATACGTGTACATTTGTTAGTCGGTTTGTGAAGTGTTTTTCGATTGCTTATGGATAAATATGCAACTCGACTACCACTTATACAGTGAGAACTTGCGATACTACTCTATTGCCAGAATCTACGATAATTGATGCGGAATTCGAATCCGTGAAAGTGACACAATAATAAAGTTGGACCTGACGAACCTGTGTAGAAGTCCGAGTTGCCGTATACCATATCAGCACATTTAGCATCAAAGTAATAAGATGAAAGATAAAGAAATAAAAAAGAAAGCAATTAGAAGAGGCCCAAGGAAGAATGTTAGAATACTGAAATTCAGCTGGATAGTATATGGATACATCTGTGCCACTACCATAGATTCTGAGCCATTTCACTAAGAGTCTCCAATTCCTGGTTTCTGTTATCATGGGAACCTTAACCGACCAGTTTGCATTTCCCTACGCAGCTCAGACCACAGCCAAAGACTTCATACAGTGGCGCTATGTTTTAATCTGACCGCCTCTAGTCGTTTTTCAGCTTCAACTTACTTCAGCTAACTTTTTGCGACAAGGTAGAGGATGACTAGGCATGCGCAACACGTATTTCAGCCACCTTAGTCAGCGGACGTTCACAACTTTATCAACTCACTTTCCTCCCTAGTACTCTACACCTGACTTCTGCATTACTGATGCAGTCAAACCATGACACATGGTCTATGTTACGAAGGCAACGGTGGTTGAACGCTTTAAGCGTTCTCATCTGCTCTACCTTTAATGACCGTGTTTCACAGCCATGTAGTAGAACCGTGGGAACTGCAACGCAGCACACTCGACCCTAAATAGACAATCGGAAATCTCAGTAGCACCTTGAATGGGGTAGGCTAGCAAAAGTCAACCGTGAATTTTCGATCTATGCAGAGATTTCGTCGGCCATTGGTCTACCGAAATTGATCCGCCTTCTCAGGTAAGTGAAGTGTTCAGCAAACTCAATCACTTCATTCCCTATTACTGAATGAGACACCACTGAAGACCATTTCTGAAGCAACAGTTTACATTTGACTGGCGTTCTGAAATTGCCACTCAGGGTGTCCAGAAGACTCTGCATCTTGTCAACGTTTTCACCTAATATGACTATGCCACCTGTGTACTGTAGATCTGCTAAGGGTGTACATATACACCTATGTACATAGGTGTACATAATATTTCTCATAGTCAGTCAATACTAACAAGGGCCTTAGTACAACAACGTAACAATTCAGATTTTCATATTTGACAACACCACATCAGTATATATAAGACAACGAAATAAAAGACATATGAATGGAAGTAATACAACCAAAGGTTATATTAAGCAGTAAAACGAAAAGAAAGCGGGTTCTAGTAAATAAGAAAATGAGATATGACGGTTAAAAAATAAAATAAAACATAAGCGCATCTACACCACTGCAAGTTGGTTACGCAGATGAGTTTACTTTCTCCTAGACGACTCAACCAAATAATCAGGATGGACGCCTTTGTTCTAGTCTACCTTCCTTTATGTAACCTTGTAGGCATATTATTTTAAGCCACTTCATTTGATGAATATTTTCAACCTCACCAACTGACTGACTTCCTTCTTAGACAAAAAAAATTTTTCTGTTTAACTCCTAGGTGCCTCCCAGTAATAGTTCCATAAAATAAGAGTTGTGGTCTGGTTTATTGCCTGTATCCTTCCATATTCTTCACCTTTGATGGTGATGAGTGACAGCAGTAGAGCTGTGATACAATGAATTGCTGCACAACACATGTGGTCCTAATACCCATTAAGAAGACAAATATTGCCAGACGATATTATTTCATGGTTTCTACAATCGCGTAACAACTAACTTAGCTTACAATAATAATTAGTCAGTATTTGCAGTTTAAATAAAGTTAAGGGAAATATTAATATCCAATCATTGTACTAGATTAGATTGTTCCGTATAGACAAAGGGTCATATCCGTTATTTTCTGAACATAATTGAATCTTAGTATTCTTCTCAGCTGCATATAACTACAAGTACTGATGATTAATTTATTGGTACTAGGTGATGATTTAGGCATTCGAACCATCGATCTATGTGTTGCCTGGCTCAGATATTTACCAACTGGGCTACAACATTCGACTTCTGATCAGACTTTTATTTCACTTCAATCACCAAAGGTTTTCCCTGACTGCCATATGAATTCATCATGCGTTACTATCCATACTTCGTGTTCACATTGGCTGCCCAGTCAGAACTTTTCATCTCAATCCAAACCAACCTGAATTAGAGAGGTGGAGGATCGTATTGATTATCCATTTGACTGTCTAAGATAGCCGTGGTTCGGTGGACTTGAAGGTCGCTAGCTCGAACCCTGCCGCTATCCAGATTTTTGCTTGGCTTTCATTCATCACCCGGCTTAGGTACTAGTCTGCAAAACTGCGATTATTTCCGATAGTCAAATGAATATTTTTTAAATTTTAAACCATGTTAGTTGCTACGTGGCTGTAGGGGAACTACGAAATCGTTTATTTGAACTTGCATAAGGGATAAACTGTTTTAAAAACCATATTAGTCGTCGGGGTTGTAGTTGACAAGTTGGTAGAAGCTAATGAAGCCTTCTCGCAGAAAGCGGCAGAGAATCCTTACCCAGCACTCAACATTTTCTACTGATGCGAAGTGCACATCTCAACACAGATGGTCTAGTCGCATTCACTGAAACAAAGCATTCTGCCAAACTTGTAGCACTGCTTCCACTTTTCTCTCTTTGAATGAATTAATATCGCGTTTTAAATGGTTTGTGTTTATGCTTTCATTCGTTTCTTCTGATATTTTTGTAGGTCAGACATCATTGCCACGGACTAATCGACACAAGTTACCCTGGCATTTTTCATTATGGGCTGGTGGATTTTCTGGTCTTTTAGCTAAAACTGTTGTCTATCCTTTAGATTTAGTCAAAAAACGTTTAGAAATACGTGGTTTTGAAAGAGCGCGCATGGATTTTGGCACATTGCCTAAAGGTTATACACCAGAGACTTATAAGAACATTAATTTGTCAAGAATAAATCGAAATCAGTATTTTGCTACAATCACCTGTCTAATGGATATCATCCAACAAAAAGGTGTTCGTGGAGTTTATAAAGGATGGATACCATCTGCTTTGAAGGCTACGCTGACTACTGGTTTAACATTCTGGTTTTATGAACAATATCGTTGGTTATTGTTGCATTATTAGTAATGCTAGTATAACTAAAATGCCTAACTATTTTATTTCTAGATTATGTATTTATTTATTTATTTATTGTATACATGAAGAGATTCACTACTTCTCTGTTGTCGTTATAGTCTCTCTACTTTTTAGGATACTGGTCATGACAATTAATGGAGGTATGGCTCGGTTATTTAGGCAGGTGACTTTCAACCAGTAAGTAACGATTTCGTAGCCTGCTCTGTCTACCAAGGTTTGCACAGCCAGGTAGTATCATTAGCCCTCACAACTCAGTAGGTGTGGCTCGTTGCCTACTACACAGATGTCTACAAAGTGCGTAAATGCGTTTCATTTCGTTGTTCGTTTCATTACAATGATATGAGTGAAACCAAAGTAGTAAGTATCAATCAAGGCTGAAAACTTTGTAGTACATGTGTTTATGCATACTTTATGTGCAGTATACGTAGGAGTTTAATAGCATGTTTACTTTCGTGAGGATCTGGCTCTCAACTTATATATATATATATATATATATATATATATATATATATATATATATATCGAAATCAGGTGGCTGATCTTGATTGTATTGCGTTCTTTGAGCTGGGTTGTTTAATCGTGAAGCTTTCGTCTTTCTAGATGACATCATCAGCACTAGCTTCATTATGAAGTCGCTACTTCGTCCAACTATTTTCCATCCCATTGGACAGTCAATCAGTGGTCTATGTCTGACACTTCGGCAGAACATACTGATGTAGGCACTCATAGAGAAAGAATAGTTATTCTTTTGTGGAAGCTTGCCTCTTGGAGAAGTCTTCCCATCTTCGGACAACTCAAAGCGTGTTACGCTCGTATGAGTTCGAAATGGTTGAAAATATTTGTAGCTCAGGTGATTGATCTTCGTTGTGTTGGGTTCTCTAAGCTGGGTTGTTTAATAGTGGAACTTTGATCACCACGAACTTCTGAATGATCAACACAGACATAGTCTCAAACCCACTTGGGTTTACACACGTCATCGCTATCATAAATATTTGTGACTACGCTTTCCTTCTACCTACAGGCGTCTGGACGAAAGTACTCGATAGCCATGACGTCTGTAAACCGAAGTGGGCTTGATACTATGTCTGTGTTGATCATTCAGAAAACTTTTTGACATCGACTAAACTTTCTGTGTTCTCGAGACATAACAATCACGTTAGTGAATGTTTGTCTCCCTGTCCAGCTGCACATTTTTAGGGAACGTATTCAGAAAACCTAATGGAATCTGTCCTTTTAATTCTTCAGCTGAAATTCTCTCTACAAGTGTCTGTAGATTTGCAAATACATCTTGAGGTGACATCAGCAGGGTATCAGCCAGTTTTCTTATTAGGCATACAGTTGTGCCTGACCTCCACAGTATTCAAGTTCCAGGACAAAATATACAGACAAACAGAAGGAGTAGCAATGGGATCGCCAATATCCCCGATCGTAGCAGATATATTTGTTGAAAGTCGAGAAAACATGGCTTTACAAAAGTTTAGTCCTGCATCAAAAATATGGTGGTGATATGTGGATGACACATTTACTGTGTTGAAATTGGAACATATCGATGATTTCCCCACACATATAAGCTCAACAGTAGGTGCAATCTAATTCAATTACGAGGTAGAAAATGAACAAGGAGAATTGCCGATGTTGGATTGCAGGATGAAACGAAAGACAGACGGTGGTTTGGATGCTACTATCCACAGAAAACCGACACATTCCAACAGGTATCTAGACTTCGAATCATCTGATCCAATGTCAGTCAGTTAAAGCAGGTTTAGTCAAATATCTAAATGATGGAGCTAGAAAACTGACTAGTCAGTACAAAGACCCAAACAAGGAATTGGAACACGTAAAAGAAGCGCTAGTAGTTAATAATTATCCTCTACAGTTCATTAAGGAATTCGTACGAACACGTAAGAAACGAGAAGATAACAGTTACACGAGTACGAATAACAACGCAACATAGCAGAAAGGAGTTCACAGCCTCCATTGTGTTACGTAGGATCCTCAACAAAGCTGGAATTAGGTTGGCATTTGAACCTATAAGCTCACCCAGAGATAAACTTTGTCGGCTGGCATAAGGATCCGATCAAACCAATTAGGCCAAATAATCTAATCTATCAAATTCCATGTAATGAATGTGAGGTGAAGTACATAGGTCAAACTAGCCGGTGGGGATCAGTTAGAATAGCCGAATATAACCTAAATATAGAATGACAGACCCGAATGATATCAGTAATCTAGAAAAATACTCGGCTATTACAATGGACGCAATAACATACAACCACATAGTATAATGGGTGGGATACAATCACTCTACTTAGGTCCAATACAATTCGATGGAGAGAGAGGGATTTGTTACTGAATCTTTGTTCATCCAATCAACGCACAACACATGTAATAGAAATGATACAACACCTATGCCAGAGATATGGAAAATTTTACTACCAATAGAAACAAAGAGTAAGAAGTGACAGGACTATAAAAAAAGAGATGTAGATATGATTAGATTGATATGATTATGAGCAGTGATAATTTATGCTCGAAACGTCATCAAGTAAATAATACCAGATCACTGTGTGTTATAAATTAGCTAAACAAATCTAATATGGAATTCAATTCTACTACACTGCCCTGGTTTTACACTTTTATTAGTTGTTTTCAGATTGTTCAATGAGTAAGAAATACTTTTAAATGATATCAATGTAGCTTTCAGAAAGTGTATCTTTAACACCCTGTTAATTCTTTTTTCAATTGTTCTCAATGTCTAATTTCATTTTTATTTGAGATTATTCATTGTTGCAGATACCTGGAGGAAATATTTGTTATTTATAGAAGCATCATTTATGTCTTACATTTGTTCCCCTAGTTCAACAATGTGGTTTTAAGTTCTAACTTGACAATGGAATATGAACAAGAGAACCATTATTACTAATTGAATGATACGATTGAAAAGACGATATACAGGATGCATATAGACATATGATTAATTAATTCGTAACAACTTCTGTTCACACACAGAAATGGCAAATAGTGTAAAACTGATTTATTCAGAAGATATACTAGAAGAAGGCTACGAGAATAGAATATATAATGTATTTTGAGATGAATGGGGATTTTTAATTTAGAAGTAGTATTCATCATGGACTGATATCAGTTGGGGAACCATTGAAAACCTGGGAGCACTGGACAGCTGTCTCGTCCTAGTATGGGACTCCTCAGCAGTAAGCACCCACGACCCGGCTAGGGGTCGGACTCAGGACCTTCAGGTTTCACGGCGAACGCGTTAACCATTCAGCCACTGGGTCGGTTTCCAGCGGGTCACAATTTCCAACTTCTGTCAATTCATGACATAGCGCGACTGTCCAGTGCTCCCAGATTTTCAATGGTTCCCCAACTGATGTCAGTCCATGATGAATACTACTTCTAGAATATATAGCTTAAGGAATTGATCATGAATGATGGTAAAATGTAAGCGATGAACAACAAATCATTGAAAAGGATTGGTTTTCATCCGAATTTAATTTAAAGGTTACATGAATTTGCAACAAATAAAAAACCTTGGCAACTTTTTAATTCTGTTAATCTGCTAGGAATTATAATAAGCTTAACTAATGCACTTTTGTAACAGAGATTGGTGAGTTTCGTGGATCAGTCAGTAATTTCTCGATCTCGGTTTTAATCATCGTTCCCAATACATTAGGAGCATTCTGTCGAATCAGGTATATCTCAAATATTTCGATAGCGTAATTAGAAGACGAAGTTTATCGGAACACAGTGTATGATGTGTATTTTGCGCAATACATTACAAACAATCTGATCACACATTTACTTGTGAAGTCAATATATATTAAACCGAAGAATAGGAGGACAAACACAATAGAGGATTAAAATTAAGAAAGATGAGAGCAAACAAGTAATATAGTTGATCCTAATCTTGGTACGAAAACAAAGTTTACCAAGGGGTAGGTGTAGTGTAAGAACAAATTGCTTTTGTACGCGTAAAGGTGGTTTCAATGTGTTTATGGCTATGTCTTCCGTACATCTCAGTATACACCTGACTGCTTCTATGTGAAACTTTGAAAACTGTTTGAACATTAACTTTGTGACCTGTTTCTATGATATGTTTAGCTACAGATGAAGAGGGTCGTCTCCCACCAGCGTTTATCACTATTTCACACTCGATTTGTTTTTGAAGCCATTCAGGTACATTTTCTCCCACCCTCAACTGCATAGCTCGATTACTCCTGCCTATGTATATTTCATCACATACATGTAAAATGGTAAACACAGTGGGATGTGGCGTAATCATTGGTGCATTATTTATGTTTGTGGTGAAGCATGTGTTTAGTTTTCTCCACAATGATAAGATTAACTGCGTAATATGCTTTCTTAATGGCTGATGTCAGCCTACGTCTCAAAACGATACTATTCAACTCCCGCTCTGTATGATAGAGTGATATGAACGCTTTTCTTAGGAACCGTGCATTAAGTTGACTTCGGTACTACTTGACCTCTACAACGGTTTATAAACCTCATTGGATATCATTTTTTCATAAGTGCTTTGGTCAGTAATTTGATGTCGTCATCCATACTGATATGATAGATTCCACTAAACAGACATTTTATTAGGTCTCGCTTGTATTGGATTGGACAGAAACTGTTAAAATTCAAGTATTGTCCTGTCCATGTAGGCTTTTTGTAAACTGACCGTCTTATTAAACCATCTTCTCGTCGACTCAGGATTATGTCTAGGAATAGCAGTTGATTATTATTCTCCTCACAAGTCAAGCTGATGTGAGTTTGTACGGTGTTAGTTCGTTATTAGTAGACAGGCCGTATCCTCATGCCTCTCACAAATCACTGTGATGTCATCAACATATGTAAAGAGGAAGTTTAGCGATGAGATCACGAGCCAGATTTTCGATATGTGACATATAAATATCAGCTAATAGTGGTCATATGGGAGTACCCATAGCTACACCGTCAACTTGTCGAAA